CCTCAAACCCCGAACCTCATGCTTATCAGTGACCAGTGTTTTTTTTTTTTTTTTGTGACCATAGTCTCGAATGGTCTGAACGTGTGCTACACTGAGCTCAAGTAAAGGACAAATATGCAAGCATCCATACAACACCATGGACCACGTGTGCAAGCAAACCAATCATAGTTTACGCCCAACATACAACACCATGGAGGATCCCTTGGGTGGTGCGTAGGCAGTGTCTGTAATAGCTTACCTGTGTCATCCGAAGGGGGTATGCAAGTGACCGTGCGTTATGTAAACGCCCGCCAGCGTCTCTGCGCAGAGGTGTGGAGTTTTGAACCCACAACCTCAGACCACAATGCACATCGACAACCGGTGCCCTAACCACTGAGCCACATGCCAAATCTTTTTCTATGGAAATTTGATCATTAATTTTTTATTTTATTTTTTTTTTGGGGGGGGGGGCCCGGAACAGTGAGTCCTGAAGGAACACAGAGACAGAAAATTGCTTTAATTCCTTGCCCAACTCTTCTTTGCTCACCATTCTCGTGTTCTTCTCTCTTCTCCAGGGTAAGTCCTATTAGGGTTTGGACACTTCGGAGGCGTGTGTGGCAGTGTGGAACAATATTGCAGACCTGGAAAATGGGTCTCACTCCACTGCTCGACACTCTACTTGTATTTGGATGCCTTTCTTGACCAGGTGAATTTGGAGGAGTCCAACATTTGGAATGCATTGGGTCCAGAAAGTGTCCAAATGCATGTAAAGTGTTCTGCAGTCGAGCTAGGGCCAATGACAACAAAGAAAGCAGTAGTGCTCTGGCGTCATCATCACATCACCAACGATCCACGGCCTCCTGTCCTAAGCCTGAAGCTTCTTCTTTTTTTTTTTTTTTTTTTTTATGCGGAACAGACGGGGCTGATGCTAGGGTTGCTGATAAGAGCAGACACCACTAGCACAGTCGGGAAGGCTCCATCTATTGGTGGGGAGCAGCACCTGCTGGAAAGCGGGTCCGCGTTCCTGAACATTGTGCTTAAATGTATGAAACAGATAGATGACTGTAGTGACTGCAATCTGCGGGGCCCACTTATCAAGGACAAAGTTTGACTGGTAGATCTGCATAGCAGCCTAAGTTGATTGCCTGTATGACAGCTTACAGGAAGTGATGGAGCACCCTACCTTCTTCCCCCGAATACAACGTACCCTCATTATAGCTGTATTTAGACTGGAAGATCCACTAGCACAGCAGGAGGGAGATCCCACTAGCCATGTATGTGGATTAGTGTGACAGGTGTGGGACGGGTGGGGGACAGGTGGGTGGCAGTGTGAAATAGGGAAAATAAACGCAAAAAAACATTTCATGACCAAACAAATGAAGAAAAAACTGCGAAAGCTAATTTGCGCTAATGAGCGCTATTCTGCGCTAATCCACGATACACAAATCGGTATTTTCTTGCGATGTGCGGAGGACTAGGCCCTACGGTTGGAGTGACAGGGAGAGCGCCGATTCTCGTAGTTCTCAAGGCGCCAACCATCTCCCGCCCGGTATGCATTTACTGCATTTCCCCCTGTGGAATACCAGGGGGCAGGGAGATTCCGGTCAAGGCTGATGGGGACTAGGGCATAGCAGCTGTAGTTACATGGACATCGGCACTCTTGAAGCTGTGGGAGAGCTACGGGTAGTGGTGGGAGCGATGCCACTGGAAGTATGCCTGCGAAGTGCTAGTGTTCTTAATGATTCAAGGCCGAAAAAAAAAAAAAAAAAGATGTATTCAAGGGACGCTGGACCCTTTTTCCAGCAGGTGATGCTCCCCACCAATAGATGGAGCGGCCCACCAGGCAAAGCCTCAATTCCGTTGGTTCTCTTACCAGCACTGGGATATTGGTGGTGGTTCTCTTACCACCAACAACAAATGAGTGCTAAGTCTCACTCACATGCCCAACTGGCCTTGTGGAATTGTACTGCTTCTTCTCACTTCTTTTTTTCTTAAAGGAAGTTGTGTCTTTATTACCAATAAATCTGAGGCCGGGAATCCCTCAACATCTCAACCCGGAAGATATCTAGGGCCATTACCCAGATTTGCTGCTTCTCATTTCATATGTCTTTTCCCTACCTTTTTTTCACAGGAAAAGCTGAGACCGTCATAGGATTGGTTTCTGTTTCATCTCAGGCGGCCACGAATAGGCTGAAGAGGTCTATGGCTACTCAGAGCTTCTTTAGGGCATAAAGTGCCAGCTACATTATATTAAAAAGATGCAGTCAGTCCTCTGGTCTTTTCAGAGCAATCAATGCTGACCTGTGCTACATTTAAATCTTCAAAAGGGGCCAGGCAGTTGATCCCCTGGTTCTCCAAGGGTAGTCAATGTTGTTCTTCTTTTCACCCAGTTTGGATATTCATTTTGCTTCATGGGGTCCTGGACCGGGTTTCCAGCATATGATGCTCAGAGAGTCTCCAACCTTGGAGGTGCTCCTATCACCTCCGTCTGCCTGTCTGTCTGTCTATCTATCTATCTATCTATCTATCTATTATCTATCTATCTATCTATCTATCTATCTATCTATCTATGTGTTTGCCTTTCTACCTACCGACCTACCTACCTACCTACCTACTGACCTACCTATGGGCCTGCCTACCTATCTACCCCCTGATCTGTCTACGTACCTACCTACCTACCTACCTACCTACCTACCTACCTACCTACCTACCTACCTACTGACCTACCTATGGGCTTGCCTACCTATCTACCCCCTGATCTGTCTACTTACCTTCGTACCTACCTACCTACCTACCTACCTACCTACCTACCTACCTCTTTCTGTATGTATCTATTTAGCTCATTATCTATTTCTTTCTGCTTATCCCTTTGTTATCTGGTGAAAATATGTGAAGCCAAAGAAGAAGAAATCCACATGTTTGTGTGGCTGGATGTTAAAGGTTGAAGGGTTGATGATCATGATGAGACGGAGATGGAGGAAGAGGAGGAGGAAGACAGAGCTAAAGGAATTAGAGGAGGAGGAAGAGGATAAGCAAGAAGAAGAGGAAAAGAGGGAAAGAATGGAGAAGACGAGGACAACAGGAAATAACAAGAGGAGGATGGGGAAAAAGGAGAGGAGGAGGGCAAAGAAGAAGACACCTGGACTGAGTTGGAGGAGGGTGGGCTAAGGCACGTACTTAGCAGCTCCAACATGCAATGGCTGTGGGGGGATGCCGAATGTGCACAAGCACCCACTTGGAATCAATCTTGTGAGCGCCCAATGTTTAGGAAAAAAAGGTTGGATCTTTGTTGTGCAACATAGTAGATCAACAGCCCAGATCGGACCTTTTGTTTCGGAATGTGCTGCCCTTATCTCCAACATGCGATGGATGTGGGGGGACGCCGAAGGTGCACAAACACCTGCTTGGAATCGATCTTGTGAGCGCCCAATGTTTAGGGGAAAAAGGTTGGATCCTTGCTGTGCAATATAGTAGATCAACAGCCCAGATCGGACCTTTTGTTTCAGAATGCGCTGCCCTTATCTCCAACATGCAATGGCTGTGGGGGGGCGCCGAAGGTGCACAAACATCTGCTTGGAATCGATCTTGTGAGCGCCCAACATTTAGGGAAAAAAGGTTGGATCTTTGCTGTGCAGTATAGTAGATCAACAGCCCAGATCGGTCCTTTTGTTTCAGAATGTGCTGCCCTTGGCAAATGCCCCCCCATTAACTCTTCCTGGCAAATTGGATAATAGACAGGATCACCCAGGAGCAGAGGGGAATCACCACGCCATGGTGCAAACATTGGGCCTTGCTCCACTACACCTACACAACACTCTACATGCATCTGGACGTTTTCTGGAACTTGTGCATTCCAAATGCTGGACTCGTCTGAATGGCTTTGTCTGACCTGGCTGGTTTAAGATCGTTGTGCATGGATTGAATTCTCTGTGAGGTGGCATCGACGGGCTCGATGCTGTTACTCACAACACAATCGCCTTCGAGTTATAGGGAGGCGGCGGTGTCCCGTTAATCCCTTATGGCCAGTGTACTTTGCCAAGGGGCTGCATCAGCACTGGCTATGGGGAGGAGAAGGTGCTTCTCTCGCAGGAAGAGGCAGGGGCTGAGTTTGGTCGGGACAGCGGTTGGGCAGCCGGATCAAGGGACGGTGGGAGTGGAGCGTCTCATGATGATCTGCAGGGACTGATGACCTAATGCGATTCAAGGCGACTTCACGTGGCGATGGGGGCTCGGCGTG